TACCCAACTCGTGATGAAAAGTCCTCCAAAACTGAGAAGTGAACTGAGTACCTCTATCTGAAACGATGGAAACTGGAACACCATGCAACTGCACAATCTCCTGAATAAAGATTCTACCCAGCCGCTCCGAGGAGTATGTAGTACATACTGGAACGAAATGCGCTGACTTAGTCAGTCGATCCACAACGACCCAAATCAAATCAAACTTCTTCAAAGTCCGAGGAAGACCAGTCACGAAGTCCATAGTAACTCTCTCCCATTTCCACTCAGGAATAACCATCTGTTGTAGCAAACCGCCCGGCCTCTGATGCTCATATTTCACCTGCTGACAGTTGAGACACCGAGCCACATATCCCACAATGTCTTTCTTCATTCTCCTCCACCAGTAATGCTNAGTCCTGATACATGTTCGCAGCACCCGGATGGATGGAATACCGCGAAATGTGTGCCTTCTCAAGAATCAAATCTCTAAGCCCATCAATATCGGGCACACAAATACGGCCCTGCATCCTCAATACACCATCATCACCTATAGCCACATCTCTGGCATCACCTCGCTGAACCCGATCTCTAAGGTCAAGCAAATGTGGATCATCATACTGGTGCGCTCTGATGAGATCATATAAGGAAGATCGAGAAATCACACTCGCCAACACTCGGCTAGGCTCAGAAATATCTAGTCGCGCCATCTGATTGGCCAAAGCCTGAACATCAACTGCAAGAGGTCTCTCCCCAACTGAAATATAAGCCAAACTCCCCATACTGATTGCCTTTCGGCTCAAAGCATCGGCCACTACATTGGCCTTACCCGGATGATACAGAATAGTAATATCATAGTCTTTAAGCAACTCAAGCCATCTCCGCTACCTCAAATTAAGATCTTTTTGCTTAAATAAATGCTGAAGACTGCGATGATCAGTGAATACCTCACAAGATACGCCGTACAAATAGTGCCTCCAAATCTTCAAGGCATGAACTATAGCAGCCAACTCTAAATCATGAACAGGATAGTTCTTCTCATGGGGCTTCAACTGACGAGAAGCATAAGCGATAACTCTACCCTCCTGCATTAGCACACAACCAATCCCAACTCTGGAAGCATCACAATATACCGTGTATGAACCTGCAACTGATGGTAACACCAACACTCGAGCTGTGGCAAAAGTGACTTGAGCTTCTGAAAGCTCTCCTCGCACTCGTCTGACCATACAAATGGAGCACCTTTCTGAGTCAACTTGGTCAAGGGCGATGCGATGGATGAAAATCCCTGAACAAACCGGCGATAATAGACTACCAGCCCAAGAAAAATCCGGATCTCTGTGGCTGAGGACGGTCTAGACCAACTCTGCACTACTTCTATCTTCCTTGGATCAACCTAAATACCCTCGCTGGACACTATGTGTCCCAAGAATGCCACAGAACTTAGCCAAAACTCACACTTGGAGAATTTAGCATAAAGTTTCTCCTCCCTCAATCTCTGCAACACTACACACAAATTCCGGGTGTGCTCCTCCTGGCTACGCGAGTATACCAGAATATCATCAATGAATACAATGACAAAAGAATCCAGATACGGCCGAAATACACTGTTCATTAGATGCATGAACGCTGCTGGGGCATTGGTCAGCCCAAAAGACATGACTAGAAACTCATAGTGGCCATATTTAGTCCTGAAGGCAGTCTTATGAATATCTGAATCCCTGATCTTCAACTGTTGATAACCCGAACGAAGGTCGATCTTAGAAAACACCCTCGCTCCTTGAAGATGATCAAATAAGTCATCAATGCGAGGCAAAAGATACTTGTTTTTCACTGTTACCTTGTTCAACTGCCTATAATCAATGCACATTCTCATTGTGCCATCTTTCTTTTTCACAAATAACACAAGTGCACCCCACGGGGACACACTAGGCCGAATAAACCCCTTTTCTAGGAGTTCCTAAAGCTGCTCTTTCAATTCTTTTAGCTCCGCTGGTGCCATGCGGTATGGAAGAATAAAAATGGGCTTAGTGTCCGACACCAGGTCAATACCAAAATCAATATCCCGGTCTGGCGGCATGCCCGGCAGGTCTGCAGGAAATACATCAGGAAAGTCCCTCACAACTGGGACAGAATCAATACTGGAAGTCTTAGCTCCCACATCACGCACGAAGGCCAAATATGATAAACAGCCTTTCCCAACCATACGTTGGGCTTTCAAGAAAGAAATTACTCTACTAGGAACATAATCAGTCATACCACGCCACTCGATCCTCGGAACACCCGGAATAGCCAAAGTAACTATCTTAGCATGACAGTCTAGAATAGCATGACACAAAGATAGCCAGTCCATGCCTAGAATAATATCAAAATCTACCATTCTCAACAGCAACAGATCAACTCGGGTCTCCAGACCCCTAATAGTCACAATACACGATCGATACACATGATCCACAATAACAGTATCGCCCACCGGAGTAGACACATGAATAGGTAAAGCAAGAGACTCCCGGGGTATACTCAAATGATGAGCAAAATATGAAGACACATAAGAATAGGTGGATCCGGGATCAAATAAGACAGAGGCATCTGTGTAGCAGACTGAGATAATACCTGTGATAATAGCATCTAACGCAAGAACATTTGTCCTGTCTGGGATAGCATAAAACCGAGCCTGACCACCACCCGATCGACCTCCCCCTCTGGGGCGACCTCTAGCTGTCTGACCCTCACCCCTAGCTGACTGAGTGGGTGCTGAAGTAAATGGTGCAGAAGATGAGGACTAGCCCCTCTGCTGAGACTGACTGCCACGAAGCTGAGGACAATGCCTCTTCATGTGACCAAACTCTCCACACTCATAACAACTACCCGACGCTGGATAAGGGAACTGATGGGAACCCCTCGCACCAAAGTGACTAGCTGATGTACTCGGCGCCGAAGAACCCTGGACTGAAGGAGCATGTGATGAACTCTGGGCTGGAAGGGCACCCAAAGAAGACTGATCCTGCTGAAATCCCTGATGACCACGGCCTGAAGATGCCCCTCGATACTCGGAACGAGCCGACTGATGAGGCCTATAAGAAAGACCCCTACTCTGCTGAAACTGGCTCCTACACGGAGCACCACTAAAACTACCTGATCCACGAGGCCTCTTGGCCTCCCGCTCCTCTCTCTCATGACGACGATCTGCCTCAATATCTCGGGCAATATCGACTGCATCTTCAAAAGTATGGCTCAGAATCCTATCTCGAGCCATCAGGATACGGATGGGATAAATGAGCCTATCCACGAACCTCCTAATCCTTTCCCGATCAGTCCGGACTATCCATGGAGCATAACGAGCTAACTCTGAAAACCTCACCTCGTACTAAGATACGGTCATATCGCCCTGACGAAGATACTCAAACTGTCTACGCCGCTCCTCTCTCTAAGATCGCGGTACCCACTTCTCCAGAAAGAGAGTGGAGAACTCCTGCCATGACAAGGGCACTGAACCTACTGGCCTACGCTGCTCATATTCCTCCCACCAAGTGAAGGCTGCACCTGAGAACTGAAAAGTAGTAAAGGATACACTGCTAGTCTCCAAGATCCCTGCTGTACGCAGCATGTGTCTACACTTGTCAAGAAAACCTTGGGCATCCTCACCCTGAGCACCACTGAAAGGAGGAGGTGCAAGTCTGCTGAATCTCTCAAGACGACGCTGCTCATCGTCTGGCATAACTGGGACCATAACCTCCTGAACCGGGGCAACCGGCTGAACTGGGGCAACCTGATGTACTGGTGGTGCCTCTGGGGTCTATAATCCCTGTACTACCGGATCAGGTGTGCGAGCAGTGAGGGTCTGACTGCCTCCCCCTACCTGTGAAGTAACTGCTACAGTGGTAGCTGAAACTGCCTGAGCCAGGCCAATGCAAACTGATAAGATCTGTGCTAAGGCCTCCTGAAGACCCGGAGTAACAATAGGCACAGCTGGTGCCTGAGCATGTGCTGCTAGAATCTCTACAGCTGGAGCCTGATCCTGTGCCGGGGCAACTGGTGGGTCAACAGGTGCTGCCCCTACGGCTCAGCCTCGACCACGACCGCGTCCACGGCCTCTGGTGGCCTCAGTAGGTGGCAATGGTGGTCGTCCGTCTTGTCCATTAGCCCGTGTTCTCGCCATCTGCGAGAGAATAGAACAACAAAATTCTGGTTTTGGGATCAACAAAGTCGCACGATAAGAATTCCAAGAATATGAAATTTTCCTAAAGGTTCTGCAGCCTCCCGAGGATAAGTACAGACGTCTCCTTACCGATCCGCGTGACTCTACTAAACCAGCTCATGACTCGTGAGACCAAGTAACCTAGGCTCTGATACCAACTTGTCACGACCCAAATCCCGGTCGTGATGGCGCCCAACACACTACTAGGCAAGCCCGACCATTATTCGACACTTCACCCAATTTATCAAAAATAGCGGATGGAAATATCAATTAATTCAAGATCAAAGTACTGAAGAGGTTAACAAAATACACAATATAATCTCACTAGGACCCGGTGTCACGAATCTGAGCCTCTAGAGTACAGAATATCATTATAATACATAGTGTATCCAAAGTCTGATAATGTGGAAATAAAAAAAGGATATGATAGGAGGGAATAAATCAATGCTGCGAACGTCGTACAACTACCTTGATACTCCCTAAAATGCTGGATCCGTTGATCAACTGGATCTACTGTGCCTGAGACTGCCCTGGATATGCACACAAGGTGCAGGGGGTAAAGTGAGTACTCCGACCCAGTGAGTAATAAAAGTAACTATAGTTCGAAGATAAGAAAACCCAGTAANTATGCTAAGCAGTTATATTAATCCCCGAAGGATTCTACAAGTCGGCACAAGGCCCCCAAACGTGGCAGTAAGCCCAAATATCATCAATACATGTGCGTATCAGTCGCCAACATATTATAAGTATCAATTCAATGTGCGAATCAGTCGCCAATATACTATAATTATCACTCGGGATGGACCAAGTCACAATCCCCAATCATATACAACCCCGCACCTGCCATGGAATGCGTGTCACGCCTCAATATAGCGTTACGATGTGAAAGTCCGGGGTTTCAAACCCTCAGAACAGCAGTTGCATCAATTACTCACCTCTAACCGGCCGTAGACTAGTCTGCAATGTCCTTTCCTCTTGAATTGACCTCTTCGCGCATCGAATCTAGTCAAAACACAAACGAATACGTTACAATAGGCTAAGGGAATATAACCCAATCGAAAAGACTCGAAAAATGTCGAAAATCACGAAATTAGCAAAACTCGAGCCCCGGGCCCACGTCTCGAAATTTCATCAATACGATCCTTATCTCACCACGAGTCTATACATACCAAATTCACAAAAATCGGAGTTCATTTGACCCCTCAAATCACCATTTAATTCTCTAAAGTTTCAAGCCCTAAACCACCATTTTAGTCCATAAATTACTTGAGTTTTCAACTTTAATCCATGTATTTAACTTGGAAATAAGTAGAAACAACTCACCTTTGATGCTTGATGAAATCCCCCTTGAAATTCTCTCCAAAATAATCCAAGCCAAATGAAAGAAATGAAAGAAATAAGCCAAATCCTTGTTTAAAAGAATCTGCCCGTGCTTCGTCGAGTTATACCTTGCACTTGTGCTATACAAGTTGTATATCCTATTAAAAATTTTCCTTGTCGGACACCTTCTATTTAAACACCCATAACGTTTTATATAAATATACAAATGACAAACGGTTTAAAGATTTAGAAACTAGACTCGAAGATCTTTAATTTGATAGGTTGTACACAATATAACTCTTTATATATCCCGAGGTATGAGCTTCTAAAGTAGGCTCCCCGAAATCAGAAAATTCTGGAGAACGAGCTCCACCAGTCATATTCAATCGACCGTAACATTCTCTACAGATGTCCAAATTAAGATTTCTTTAGCTTTATAAAAACTAGACATGAAGGGCTACAACTTTCATTTTTGAACCATCTCAAAATTCCTTATATATCAAAAGATATAGGCCTTCGAAGTATGCTACACGATTGCATTTTTGCTGTGCAGAGACAGCTTCTGCAACAACTTTTCTTCTTTTTTTCGTTTTGGTCCGAATTTCATTCCGTTAACCTTACGAAATCCACCTGAGTCCCTCGGGACCTTAACCAATTATATCAACATATCCCACAATGTCATTCAAACTTGTTCCAACCTTCAGAACACCCAAAATAACATCAAAACATCAAATCATCATCGGATTCAAGCCTATGAACTTTGAAACTTCTAACTTTCACATCCGATGCGGAAAATGTCAAAACTAGTCCGAATGACCTCAAATTTTGCAGACAAGTCCAAAATGACATAACAAAGCTACAGAAACTCTCGGAATTCCATTCTGACCCTCGGATCAAAATCTCACCTATCAAGTCCCAAATCACCTAACGAAGCTATCCGAACCATAAAATTCGCATTTCGAGCTCTCTAACATATAAGTCAATATTCGGTTGACTTTTCCAACTTAAGCTTCCTTAAAAGAGACTAAGTGTCTCAAATCTTACCAAAATCATTCCGGAATGACTTCAAATTTTGCACACAAGTCACATTCGACATTACGGACTTGCCCCAACTTTCGTATTCACATTCCGACTCCGATATCAAAATTTTCACTTCCGGTCGAATTTTTCTCAAAAACCTTCAAATTTCTATACTTAGCCAAATGACTTCAAAATGACCTCTGGACATCCGAATTCACTTCCGATCGCGCTACCAATCCTTAAATCATCCCCCGAAACTAACCGAATCATCGGAAATCAATTCTGATACCTCTAACTCATAAGTCAACTTCCGGTTGACTTTTCTAAGCTAATTCTTCATTAAAGAGACTATTTGTCCCAATTTCTACCAAACTCAATCCGAATTGACTCAAATTCACCAAGTACACATACTGAAGCATGAATAAGCATATAACGGGGAATACGGGACGGAATTACAGGAGACGACGGGTCGGGTCGTCACAGGTGTTTAGGGACATCAGAGGTTGATTACCTGATGAGGGAAGTTCATGAATGAGTATACAAGAATCTTTCTCTCATGCATGGATATTTAGATTATCGCCCCAAAAGAATAACAAATGTCTATGAAATCTCTAAGATATGAGAATAAAATAACCGCATGGGATGATGCCTGACTAAAAGAACCAAGAACCACATGCTAGCTACCAACAAATAAAAGTGGTATCTTACCGTATACCTCGAAAAGAGAGTCATCATTTTCATACATCATATACCACACCTTATCTTGAAATATATAAAATATGCAGAGCCTTGAAGAGGGGCCCGCAAGAGCTGAGTACATCGTCACAGTACTCAATAAGTTTTTGGGACAAGGCTTTATGTAAATAATGCAACCAATATTTGATATAAATGAGTAAATAATTATATCAATTCATGCTCTTTGTTATTTTAAATAAAAAGACTAGTGAAATATAAACCATGATATAAACCTTTAAAATATTTATATCAATTCATGATTTTAATAAAAACCATACAAAACCCTTTCGATGGAATTAAATCATTAAAATCATTTTCGGCTCCTAAGGTCTAAATATAATAAAAGTTATTTTTTACCTTTCACCGGGAGCATAATACCAACACCGACATCATAATAAATTCAACTAGGTGATCAACCTAGTGGCAAGTATTATATACCCTACTTGCTCAACTTGTCTCATCATAGTGTTGCACGAATTGACTCAGCTTTGCTGATATAGCACATTTGCCTCTCTTGAGGGACTTATTTCACAAACCTCATCTTAGACTTGGAATATGTTCCTCCACCGGTATATGCAATTTCATGGTATCAAATATAAAATTCGAACCAACCTTGATGGTCTCTACTAGTAACTTTAAAGATATTTGATATTTCAAAAATAGATTCATAGCCTAATAGCCTCAAAAAATCTATTTTATAAAATCATGATGTTTATAACCAAATTAACTCATTGAACAAAATCAATGAATAACTTTTTTTTTATGTCAAAGCCTTTAAGAGTTTAACAATAATCTTTAAGAGATACAACGAATGATATCCCCTTATCAATTTTCAAAAGAATCATATCTCATGTAAATACATCTTTAGCAACAACAACAACAACATACCTAGTAAAATCCCACTAGTGTGGTCTGGGAAGAGTAGAGTTACGCAGACCTTACCGCTACCCCGAAAAGGGCAGAGAGGATGTTTCCAGGAGACTCTAGGCTTAACAGGATAAGCAATAATATCATAAAAGAAATAAGAGAAAAGACATGTACCAAAAAAATATACTAGAAAGAAAATAACCACAGCAAATAAGTGAAAGGACAATAACACAAAACTATGCAAAACAACAATGTGAATACAACAAAGACCGCTAACAAACCTATATGAAACTCTATCAGACTACCCGATACAAAGAGGGAAGAACATTCGACTACCCTTAGCCTACCACCCTAATGCTCGACCTCCACATGTTCCTATCAAGAGCCATGTCCTCGAAAATCTGAAGTCGCGTCATGTCCTGCCTGATCACTCGCCCCAATATTTCTTAGGCCGCCATTTGCCTCTTCTCGTACCTCCCAATGTCCACTGCTCACACCTCCTAATCGGTGCATCTAGGCTTCTCCTCCACACGTGTCCGAACAATCTAAGTCGCGCTTCCCTCATCTTGTCGTCCACGGGAGCCACGCCCATCCTCTTCTGAATATCTTTATTCTGAATCTTATCCAGCCTAGTGTGACCACACATCCATCTCAACATCCTCATTTTTGCTACTTTTATCTTCTGGATATTTGAATTCTTGACGGGCCAACACTCAGCTCCATTCAACATGGATGGTCTAACCACTGCTTTATAGGACTTACCTTTGAGTTTTGGTGGCACATTCTTGACACACAGGACTTCAATCGCTAACCTCCATTTCATCCACTCGACTCCAGTACGGTGCGTAACATTCCCGTCGATCTCCCCATCTCCCTGGATAATTGACCCTAAGTACTTAAAACTTTCTCTCTTGAGGATGACCTGTGAGTCAAGCCTGACTTCCACATCCTCTTCCCCCGTCATGTCGTTGAACTTACATTCCACATAATCTGTATTAGTCCTACTCAACATGAATCCTTTAGACTCTAGAGCCTGCCTCCATACCTCCAGTCTCCCATTAACACCGCCTCGCATCTCATCAATTAGAACTATATCATCAGTAAAAAACATACACCATGGCACCTCTCCTTGGATATGGTGTGTCAGTGTGTCCATCGCCAAAGAAAATAAGAACGGGCTGAGCGCAGATCATTGGTGTAATCCCACAACTACTGGAAAAGGCTCAGAGTTACCTCCAACACTCCTAACCCAAGTCATAGCTCCATCATACATATCCTTTATTGCCCTAATGTAAGCCACCGGCACACCTTTCACCTCCAGACACCTCCAAAGGACGTCCCTAGTGACCTTGTCATATGCCTTCTCTAGGTCAATAAACACCATATGCAAATCCCTCTTCCTATAGCTTTGTAGTTCCACCAACCTCCTGATAAGGTGGATAGCTTCCAAAGTAGAACGACCCGGTATGAACCCGAACTGGTTTTCCGATATAGACACCGCCCTCCTTATCCTCCCTTCAACTACCGTCTCTCAAACTTTCATGGTATGACTTAGTAACTTGATACCCCTATAGTTGTTACAATTTAGGATATCCCCTTTGTTCTTGGACACCGGAACCATTGTACTACACCGCCACTCATCATGTATCCTCTTTGTTCTGAAGATAACATTAAACAACCAAGTGAGCCACTCCAATCACGACCCTAGTTCGCCCTCCGTGAACTATCATGATGGCACCTAGTCTCTACAACTAGGTAAGCCTAACAAATTGCAGAAAATAGAAAATTACAGAATAAAACTAGCCATAAATTGCAGAAATAACACAATGAAGCGTTTAAGATATCGCTCGACATATACAATAAAAACTCTCGAACTGAAAAAACATTTCCCAAAACCAGAAATCTCATCAAATCACAAGCTATTGGATAACTATAAGTTTCTAAGTTCGGAATGTCTAAACAAAAGTAAATACAGAAGGGCTAATACTATAAGAGAGAATAGAAAGGGACTCCTCGGTCTGCGGACGCAGCAGATATACCTCAAAGTCTCTGGAGAATTGCCTCGCCTAAGGGTAGTAGGTATGAGTCGAAGTACCTGGATATGCACATGAAAAACATGTGCAGAAAGGGCATAAGTACACCACAGCGGTTCTCAATAAGTGTCAAGCCTAACCTCGGTCGAGTGGTGACGAGGAAGGTCAGGGCCCTACTGAATTTAAATGAAAAACAAGGTATAACGGTATAGAATAAGATAATATAACTTAGTGCAACAGTAAGAAGTAACACAGGATAGAAAGAACAACAACTACTACAACAGAGACAAAATAATCATAGAAAGGAATACAACTCAACATAGAGATAACAATCAGGGATCTTCCAGGATACCATCCTATAGTCCCAAATATAAATATTCAGTGGATCTCACTGGTGTTGTCTCCTAGTCAAACTCAAAAAGTGCGAGGATCTCCCGGAATACCGAACCATCGTCCCAAATGTAAATATATAGTACTGGGGAATCTACCGGGTGCAGTCACATATTTCCAATATAAAAGTATGGGTGGATCTCCCAGAATACAAATCTGTAGTCCCAAAGTAAACATGTAGGGGATATCCCGGGATACAGTCCCAAAGTAAATACACAGCAGTAACACGAAGAACACTCAATTCAATTCAAATTTCATACCAAGGTAAAACAAGTATTTCTAACCTAGCATGCTGCACAGAATCCAAATAAGGCAGTTGAGCAAATAAAGATATTAAGTCAATTAGACATTCTTCCCTAAACTAACAGTAAGCTCAAATTAATTCTAAGCTAATACGCTAAATTATGTAAAATGACCAAAATGCCCCCTCGGCCCACGTCTCAGAATCGGGTAAAATTTACAAATTCGGAATCCTCACACTCTCACGAGTTCAGTCATACCAAAAGTACCAAAATCGGACCTCAAATGGTCCGTCAAATCATCACTCAAAACTCTCAAATTAATCAAGCCCTAACCCCAATTTACCACTGATTTTTCTTCAAATTTCATGCTTAGAATAATAAGAATCACCATAATAACGAGCTTAGGAACCAAGGACCTTACCTCAATGAATCCCTCTGAAAATCTCCCTTGAAATGGCTCCCAAAAGCTTCACCCCGAATGAAATATTGAGAAAAATGGCCAAAAATTGCGAAGGGTGAAATATATACCTTATGACCCAGGGATTCCGCACATGTGGTCATTTCCCGCTTCTGCAGTCTAACCACTGCACCTGCGGTTTTCACTTAAAGGTCTAGGACCACACCTGCGGTCACTCTCCCACACCTGCACCATCGCAGATATGCCTAGATGTCCGCTTCTGTAGCTCCGCCTGACTCACCTCTTGGAAACATCACGAACCTTCCGGTCCTTCTGTCTGGACTGGGCTGTACGAAGTCTATCCTGAATCACCTTAACCTTCTCCAAAGCATCCTGAACCAAGTATGTGCCCAATAATATAGTCTTACCTGGCTTAAACCAACCCACCTGGGATCTACACTGCCTACCATATAAAGCCTCGTACGGTGCCATCTGAATGTTGGACTGATAGCTGTTGTTGTAGGCAAACTCCGCCAATAGCAAGAACTGATCCTAAGATCCTCCAAACTCAATCACACACGCACGGATCATATACTCAAGAATCTGAATATTGCGCTCGGGCTGTCCATCCGTCTGAGGGTGAAATGTTGTACTCAACTCCACCCGAGTACCCAACTCATGTTGTACGACCCTCCAGAACTGTGATGTGAATTGAGTACCTCTATCTAAAATGATGGAAACTGGAATACCATGCATATGAATAATCTCCCGGATATAAATCTCCGCCAACCACTCCGAAGAATAGGTAGTACACAGAAGAATGAAGTGTGCGGACTTGGTCGGCCAATACATAATCACCCAAATGGCATAGAACTTCCGCAAAGCCCGTGGGAGTCGAACTACAAAGTCCATGATGATCCGCTCCCACTTACACTCCGGAATCTCTATCTGCTGAAGCTCTCATACTTCACCTGTTGACAATTGAGGCACCGAGCTACAAACTCAACTATATATCTCTTTATCCGCCTCCACCAATGGTGTTTCCTCAAATCCTGGTACATCTTCACGGCACCTGGATGAATAGAATACCGCGAACTATGGGCCTCCTCTAAAATCAAATCCCGAAGCCCATCAACATTGGGTACACAAATCCAACCCTGCATCCTCAGTACCCTGTCATCACCAATAGTCACATCTCTGCCATCGCCATGAAGGACCTTGTCCTTGAGGACAAGTAAATGAGGGTTATCAAGCTGACCCTCTTTGATACAATCAAATAAGGAAGACCAAGAAATCATGCAACTTAGAACCCGACTGGGCTCCGAAAGATCCAATCTCACAAACTAGCTAGCTAAGGCCTAAACATCCATCGCCATGGGCCTCTCCGCTGCTGGTAAATAAGCTAAACTCCCTAAACTATCCGGCTGGTGAATCAAAGCACCGGCCACCATATTGGCCTTGCTCGGGTGATACAGAATAGTGATGTCATAGTCCTTCAGCAACTCTAACCACCTCCTCTGACGCAAATTAAGATCCTTTTGCTTGAATAGATGCTGCAAACTCCGGTGATCAGTATAAATATCATAAGGCACACCATACAAATAATGATGCCAGATCTTCAAGGCGTGAACAATAGTAGCTAACTTGAGCTCATGGACAGGATAATTCTTCTCATGTACCTTCAACTGTCTGGACGCGTAGGAAACCACCCTACTGTCCTAAATCAATACCGCTCCAAGGCCAATCCTTGAGGGATCATAATAGACAGTATATGACCCCGAACCTGTAGGAAATATCAAAACTGGTGCTGTAGTCAAAGCTGTCTTGAGCTTCTGAAAGCTCACCTCACATTCTTCCGTCCACTGGAATGGAGCACCCTTATGGGTCAACCTGATCATAGGGGCTGCAATAGATGAAAACCCCTCAACAAATCGACGGTATTAACTCTCCAAGCCAAGAAACCTGCATATCTCTGTAGCTGAGGACAGACTGGGCCAACTCTGCACTACCTCTACTTTCTTCGGATCGATTTGAATACCTTCACTCGATACCACGTGGCCTAAGAATGCCACGAAATCCAACCAAAACTCACATTTCGAGAACTTTGAATTTAACTTCTTTTCCCTCAAAGTCCGAAGCACTGTCCTCAGGTGCTGCTCATGATCTTCCCGACTCCGAAAGTGTTCTAAAATATTATCAATAAAGATAATGGCAAACGAGTCAGGATATGGCCGGAACACACTGTGCATCAAATGCATAAAGACTACTGGGGCATTGGTTAGCCCAAATGACATAACAAGGAACTCGTAATGACCATACCAAGTCCTAAAAGTAGTTTTCGGGATATTTGGCTCCCAAATCTTTAACTGATAGTAACCCTTATGCAAGTCAATCTTAGAAAACACTCGTGCACCTTGAATTTGGTCAAACGAATCATCAATACGAGGCAAAGGATAACGGTTCTTCATTGTAACATTGTTCAAGTAGCGATAATCAATGCACATACGCATAGAACCATCCTTTTTCTTCACAGACAAGATATGAGCAACCCAAGGTGATACACTGGGCCGAATAAAACCCTTATCAAGAAATTACTGTAACTGATCCTTCAACTCCTTCAACTCAAGAGGAGCCAACTATACAGAGGAATAGAAATAGGCTGAGTGTCCGACAACAGATCAATGCCAAAATCAAATCTCTATCGGGCAGGCTCTAGGTTCATAGGACTCATGAATCACAAGCTAATTTATTAGAGTCTCACGGATCGGTACAAAGACATCTGTACTTATCTACAAGAGGCTATGTAACTGTTAGGAAAATTTCACTTCATTTGATTTTCTTGTCGTGAGAGATGTTGGTATCACAATTCTAAACTTTTGTATTCTATTCTCTCACAGATGGTGAGGACACGTGCTATCAGAGATGATAAGGCACCAGTGCCCCCTACTGGAGCTGTCAGAGGTCGAGGTCAGGGTAGAGGCCTAGGATGCGCATGTGGTGCAGCTAGAGCACCCGCGTGAGCTGCCACCAAGGTGCTACCAATAGTTCCAGCCAAAGTCCAAGCACCCGATACGCCTACTGCTACTACTACTCTAGCTCTCTAGGAGACTCTTCCACAGTTCATGACCATGTACACCACTCTGGCTCAAGCAGGGTTGTTTCCCCTTACTGCAGCTACATCTTAGTGTGGGGCAGGAGCACAGACTCCCGCCGCCCGCACTCTTGAGCAGCGAGTGCATATTGATCAGGTCCAAGAGATTATTCTTGTACAGCCTACAATCCAAGATCAGTCCAATGACAGGGCAATGGCTTCCGGGGACGA